GGTTGCCACGCTACCTGGAAAACCGGAAAAAGTCAGGGAATTCGGAAATTGACCAAAAAATTCAGGGAAAAGTCAGGGAATTTAAGTGTTTTAGTCAAAATCTGGAAAAGTCAGGGAATTTCATACAACGATCCCGCCAAAAAAGGCGAGTTTTGCGCCGATGTCGGAAGAGATCACTTTTTTGGCGAATTGTGTATCACGTGAGTGTCATTCGGGCAGCTGGCATAGAGCCAATTTTCGCAGCTCAAATTTGTATAAATATATATATATTACAATACAAAAAAATATGTATTGTAAAGAAGGAAAACCTCTCTCCAACAGACGTGGCTTGGTTCCATCATAGCGGGAAATAGCTGTGCATGCGCGATATATCTGACGCCAAAGCTCGAAACCGGTGTCGAAGTTCGAAGGTCACGTTATCAAGAGTTCATAAAATGAATATCGTTTAAAATGTCTTTAAAGGAAAAGAAAATATTTTTTGGCTCAAGTAAATTAATTCATGGATTAGTTATTTTGAGGGGTGGGAATCTACGAAAATCCGTTTTTAAAATTATTGCGAAAAATCCAAGAAAAAACGTTCTTTGATAAAATGTTTCTTCTTGGATTTTTTGCAATAATTTAAAAACGGATTTTCGTAGTTTTCTTTTTTGTCAAAGAACGTTTCTTCTTAACACGTGTTTCTCAATTTCCTGTACACATCGCGGAGAGGGAAATTCTGGCTGTTCCGTCGTCAAATCCCTTGGCAAATTTTCCCTCCGCTTTTTACATAGACGTTCTTTGGTCAGAATAATCTCCATGTATGGTACAGCGGGATTTGGCGACATGATGATGAGCAGTAAATGGGTCATTTTGTTCTTGGCGACAATTTTCAAAATCATGGCCGTGGCCGTATCGTATACTAGGATTTTACCGCAAAATCTCTCTCTTTTTTTTTTTCTTTTCTTTTTTTTTTTTTTTTTAATAAATACCTTGTCATTTTGTAGTAAAATAAAAAAATAGTAATCAGTCATCTAGGATAACCATGTAATACAAATATATTCTCTAAAATATCATTGATTATTCTAATTAAATTTTTAAGTAATTATCTTTATTTTTATGTTTTATTCCATATCATTTAATGTTGCTTCTTCCCTCTAAATTATTTATCATTAGTTAGTAAAATAATATTTCCAAATTCAGGAAATTTTCTCTGGCATAATCCTGAAATTAATTCTAGCAGTATGATGACATCACGAAATTTAATGCACATATTTTTTCCTTATGTATGCTGCGAAATAAATATAAATAACCTCAATTTAGTAAAAAAAATATCATTTAAATATATTTCTTTTTCGTTTAGCTGCTGAAGAATGTCTGCAAAAAAAGCCTTATTTTATTCCAGATTGGGCAGATTCTAATCTCAATCTTCAGTGGAGAAAACAACTCCTATTATAATTATATTTGTGTTTTCAAGTGTTAAGGTGGCTTTTAAGAATACACCTGACACAAATTAAATTTACCTAAAATCTAACCTAACTTTTAGCATTGCGTTGTGATTTATAAGAACCGGATTAGCCTCGTGTTGAACTGGGGATGATCATGAGTAATAATTAAATAAAATGTGCAGTTGTTATCCAATGTATATATCTTAAATTTTATTAAGTTTTTTAAGCGGAAAAGTAAACAAAATTATCAAACAAAGTGTACCAAGAATAATTAAGAATAAATGTCCTCTGGGATTTATTGAATAATTAAGTGAATTTGCTACACAGTACAAGTAATACCATAATTAATTTACCTCTTAGCACAGCCAACGTACATTACGCGGATAGACTGGAATTTTCTTGAAACATACCTGGAAAACCTGGAAAAGTCAGGGAATTTTATTCTCCTGTTTGAGTGGCAACCCTGTGATAAGTAGAGTGGTCAGAATGGTAAATGTTTATCCAAACCATCGAGTGGCCAGGGAAGAAAACTCGTAAAGCTGGTCAGAAAGTATGAGGAATGGTAAACAAGATGTCGGGTTTGATTTGTAGACTAGTCCAAATGTAAGTAAAATGTGTCAGGCTTCTGGTTAATTGTGACTGCTGTCATTTTGTCTCAGTTGCATGTTATCCTTGGCCACATTCTAAAATTCATATGTATTTCCTTAGAAATATAAGCTTTTATGTAATGTCTTCAAAAAGAAAATTTAGCATTGATGTGGACAGTGGATCCAGCACCATGAGTGCAAGACCCATTAAGAGCTTGTAAAAGTTTGTACAAAAAATTAGAATTTTAGTAAAACCTTTTGATCAAGCCAAGAAATGTAAAGTTGCATTACCAATACTAAAATGCTTCAAAAGACACTATATGATGAATGATTATTAATTTTCTGTAAGTTTTTCTAAGCATTCATAAATTAAAATAAGCATTTGTTCAGGAATATAATTTCCAGGTAATAAATCATTTTTCATCTCTGATGAATTATGCATAACTGCATCTCAGACATGTTTATGAAATTAAACCAGTGTTGTACCTTACACACATTTTAAGATTTGCTATTGCCACAAATTTGAGGGTTAGCTCAAGCCATTAAATGGTTGGACATGTACTTGACATGCTGTTGATTGTGGCACTCACCATTTGTAAAGCAAGGGTTTAAAATATTTTCTTATAAATGAAATCGCACAAAATTTTTAAGTTCTAACACACACTTCACAATTCTTTATAATTTCAATCAATGGAATTTCAAAATAATATGTACCAACTTTTATTTATTTTTGCTGACAACACTGTGAATATTACCTGGACCTGTTAATCATTTAATGCAAACTCACTTCAGAACACTGGACACTTCACTAAACTGGTTTCTGAACTCCTTATAGGATACTGCTGCCAACATTGGATACCATTTTTAAATTATGGCCAGCAAATAATTAATGTTAATTTGGAACCCTGTCCACATTCATTAAAACTTTGTAATAGACTTGAATTTACACTCTTGCTTTCCGCATAATAAGTTCAATTCTTTACAACAGTCATCAATGGAGACTAGCATCAGAAGCCCCATTTGTCAGCTTTTGAGTATTTGCTGCTTTTTCCTGTGTTAACTTGAAAGCCTGCCGACTTTTTGATATGTGGACAGTCACATTAGAATTTGTAGCTGATGATTGGTAGAATTTAAGACAACAAAATGATCTAAATTTTCTGGGCTTCCTTTGCTTTAAATATGATTAATACATTTTAAGAGTAATATACAATTTTTTAAGCAGTTAAGCCATAATAAGTAGTAAATAGTTCAAAATATTACATACACACACATACACATATAATCAACAATAAGTTGTAATTACTATTATTTAAGTATACTGAGGCAAAATATATTTTATGTGGAAAAAAGTATCAGCTGATTGGCTTGTTGCATCGAATTCTCTTTGCCAATAATAGGATACAGTAAATAACAAATTTAGACAAACAGTAGCTTATGACCCATTCTTGAAATTAAGTATTTCTGACTATATTCTGTAAAGTCTGGTATATCAGATTGTAACATTCTGATTAGAGCTGTCTCCCTCATGAAAATAAGATATATTCATTAAAATTTAGTATATGATTATTTTTCTTTAATATTCTATAAATTGTAGTCATTGAATGTATTCCAAAGGTTCCCATGACCTTTGGGAATTTTAGCATTTAAATTTTTGTCATAAATTAATGTTTACCACATCATTGCATATCCTAGTAATTAAGCAGCAAAAGCACAAAAGGCTTGAGTTGCAACACCGTAGGAAATTAACCTAAAAATTGGTGATAAATTGATATGTTAAGGGCAGATTCAGTGAAAAATAGATGTACCCGTTGGAAGGGGGAAAATGATGTAAAATTTCATACATAATATTGAGATCTTATGATTTGAAATAAAAAAGATTTTTCATTGTATGATGTTACATGGATGCATTCCATTTGTTACCAGTGCAGTGTTTAGTAATTTAATTCTTTTCATAGTTTATGAAAGTATTCGGAACATTTTTCATCTTGACATAGACATTTCTGCATAGATAGTGTATGCTTTCAGTTCTTTTATATTGACAGGTATTTCTCAGGGTATTTTTATGCGTTTTCCACTAAAGCCATGGCATGCATTTTCAACACCATTTTGAATTGCTGACCTTTGAGTCAATAAACGAAATGATGAGGAATAGCAACAGAGATTGTTTTTTTATTTAATGAAAAAAACCTTCATAAACTCATTGTATGTTGGAGGGGGGGCAAACACAGCCTATGTAATTTTTTATTTCTCTGAATAGCTTTTTACCGGTTTCTACAATTTTGTTGTATTGATCGATTTTAACATTAGGTCAAGATAATAAGGAATTGGAAAATACCTCTCTTACATACTAATGCCTATCAATCGTGATTCATTTGAAGGAACTTTTGTTACAGAAAATTTACTAGGTATTAACTTCGTGGCACCATAAGTAAATGAATCATAGGCAGTAATGAAAGGAATATATCCAACAAACTACATTTGTGTTGGGACTTTTTTTTTTTTCTTCTCAGCATGAGTGAAGATTGCTTAAGAATTTCAACTAAGAGTCATTTTAATTTCATGAACTAGTATTTGAACACAATCTATCTAAAGAACATATCTTTCTTGAAGAAACGGGATAGTTACTGCTTCATCTCTTGCAAATAACAAAAAAAAAAAAAAAAAAAGTTTACATGAAACACATTCCCTTCAATAATTGTTATAAAAGCAATTATTGCCTGAAAGATGCCTAAACCAAACTTACTACACCCTGTACTGAGAAAATGCACCAAGTGTTATGATTTTTAATAGAAAGTAGTGATATTTCTTTGAGAAATGATAGAATTTTTTAGTTACTCTTTTTCTTTTTTAAACTAACTTTATTTGTTCCTTCTAGAGGGAATGTTATGGCTATTTCATTTTTCTTAATGCTGTTCATGTCTGAAGCGTTATCAGAAACTTCCATTAAGTCAAAAATTTCTGTACATTTTTTTACTGTTTCTTTCTACAGGTTTCAAAGAAGAACTTAATGGAAATTGTAAAAAAATTAATGGCTCATATGGATAAAGCTGAGGGAGCACAGTATAGAGATGAGCTTCTTTCAAAAATTATCGATATATGTTCACAAAATAATTATCAATACATAACAAATTTTGAATGGTAAGAAAATTTGTATTATCTTTCACTCAAAAATGTTTTTACTTACTAGCTTTAAGATAATCAGTTTAATTGGAAAGTATAAAAATAACAATTTGAGTATCTATTATTTTAAGTAATTCTCATATTTTTTGTATGTTATAAATGTGTACCAAGTGTTTGAAAAATGTGATTATATAATTTATTTTCATAAGTTTTGATGTTAGAGTTATAGGTTGCATTTTGAATTTTTATAGACTCCAGAAGTTTTATTTACATAGGTTATGAAATTTTCATATAAATGAAAAAGTCATTAAAAAACAAAAGAAGGTTTTCAGCTAAGTTGCTAAAATACTTGTCAAGTATGGATTTTCTTGGTAAATTTACCATTTCACATTTATTTTAGCTATATTTATTTAGTCCAACACCTGTTAGAATATACATTCTGTTGCAAGAAAATATTTGCACCCAGAAAAAGTTGAGCCACAATTATGAAATGTGGCATGCAGATGTGGTTGGGCAAGTTGTGTAAATGATTGAACTTCCAGCATTGTTGAGCAATACAATGCGTGTCTGAAGTGTGCAGCTGGTAGAATGTAAAGTACAAATGTGATGAGTGATGAATATTTACAATCATACTGATTGCATGGATACACAACATTGTAACGAAAGATGCCTGACATGACATGACATGATGAAGACATACATGATAGTGTTATGAACAGTTGTTAGATTTTGAAAGGGGTTGCATCCATAAGCCTAAAAGAGGCCAGTTGTTCAAACAGGCAGACCGACTGCCATATTGGTTGAAGTGATCTAGTCATCCATTGTTGGAATTAATGGCTCAGTGAAGGCATAGTCAGCTGCCATAGTGGCTCGGGACGTCTCTGGGCCACCAGTGCCTGAGATGATAATGCAGTCAGAAGAGCTGTCACATCTGCAGCAACAGTGATGCTATCATCAGTTCAACTCCATTTTCCAACTTGCAGGGATCCTGAGATATGATTCGCAGAAAACTAGGTGACACTAGAGTCAGATCTCTAAGTCCATTAAGGTGCTTGCCATTGACACTTAACATAAGCAATGTCGTTTTGCATGGTGTTTCTCTCACTCAAGTTTGTGTCTGATTGGAGAAATGTGATCTTCAGCAATGAATCAAGCTTTTCTCTCAAAGCTGATGACCACTGCATAACATGTATGGAGATGAGAAGTGAGTAGTCCAATTTACCAATTTTTACTGAGTGGGATACTGCTTGAACAGAAGGTTTGACAGTTTGGGGAGCAATCAGCAGGGACAGCTGTTCACCACTAGTCATGCTGTGAAGTATTCTGACTGCTTGCCGGTATGTTGATGACATTTTGCAGCCAATCCTACCAACTATGCTAACAGGTCGTCCAGGCTCTTTTCCAGCAGGACAACATTTAAACACATATGTCATGACTCTTCCAATGATGTCTTCATTGTGTCAATATCCTCGATTGTCCTTCAAGGTCTTGAGACTTGTCACCTATCTAGCACGTTTGGGACATGTTGGGCAGGAAAATTCAGCCTTGTACAAATATGTCCCAACTGGCTGACCAGTTTCTCCATTTGTGGCACAGTTTATCACAGAGGCACATTGGCAGCTTAATAGACTCTATGCCCAATCGAGTATTGGCTTCTATAGCTTCCAGAGGTGGTTTTTTTACCTACTGATTTTCACACTCTTTGTATTGCTACTCATAAATAAAATGCTTTCCTCCCAGTTTTTGATAATTTATTTATCTACTCAGACTATGTTACTGCCATGTCTCTTAGTTGGGGCTCAGTTCTTTCCAGGTGCATGTATTTTTTTGCAACATAGTGTATTTAGATTACATCAAGTATTATATTAAACTCTGCATTAAAGTTTTATAAAGCTGCACTTGTCATTTCAAGTATATGCCGTGGAAAAAATCATTCTCATAGTTTTTCCATGGACTTCATTTATGTATTATATGATAGATCATGTGATCATACAAATGCTGAGAGGTTGTACTAGTTCACCATAAATGAAGAAAACTGATTTCTATTAAAATACTCATATTTGTTTACATATTTGGGGATCTTTTTTTATAACTGTTTAGCATTTTTGGATGTTTTTCTGCATTTGCCTTCTGATTTATATGTGGTTCAATCAAAATGAAAGCACTGAGTATTATTACCAAATCAAAATGTTATTCTGATTTTGTATTCTGTTCTTGTTTCATATCGAGCCAATAATACCAATCATCTGGCTCATCCTGTTTAAATCCTTCTTGTTCCAAAATGCATATTCATTCTCTTATTTTGTAAGCCCCCCAGGTCACTTTTTAACATGCTTAACACTCATTTCTGTCATAAAGATACTGTAAAATAATTGCTTTTGTGTAAGTTGGATTAAAATACCCTTGTATATGTTGCTATTCTTACCTGCTAATGATTGCTTTTTTCACATTACATCATGAGCATTGACTTCTCAGGATTTTTTTACATGACTTTTCCTTTTTTTAAGTTATCTGCATAATGTAGAATTTAGAATTCTTACTAACTACAAAATATTTCTCATTGATTTTCCAGGAATTTTTTAAATGTTCCAGACAGGCACTGCATATGTAAAAAAGTAAAGATCATCAACCTTTCGTGCTTGGAGGCCACATCAATAAATTCATAAAGTTCTGCTTGCCACACATCTGTCAAATAAGTGGCATAGCAAAAAATTATAAAAGAGAGGGAGGTTTACAGGACTATAATCAATTTTAAGAAGAGGGGAGATGGCATTACCGATTTCAGTAATAACCAGTATTTTGCATTTTTTGTTGAAAAAAATAAAATTCACTGTAAGTGGGTTTTCAAAAAATTTAGTGGTCAATATACTTTGTACTTATTTTGAATAGTCAAAGAGAATGAAGCTGACATGATATGCGGTACGTAACACTGTTAAAAAAGGCCTTTGATTATAAAAAATTCATATTAATGGCAGAATGGAAGTCTTCAGCCTTAGTCAAAAGCTTGCCATTGTTTTTCCTTTATTAAGCTTCAATATCCAGTTCAATCTCTGTTGTTGCAATTTGTAAAGTATCTTTCAAATATTGATCTGTCAGACATGTTTTTGTGTTCTTTATCCTACTGAACCACTTTTCGCACATGCAGGTAGTGCCAGAGGTAAAAAGCATGGACAATGCATGTTTATGTATTCCTGAATACTTGTCTTCAGACACGTACTTCAAATAAAAATCAGTTAATCATTGATTGCATTTTACTGCATAGTCACATTGCAAATCTACAAATTCTGATTGAAGTTCAGGTGGAACACTTTTGATGTGTATTGAGAATGGTGAGGGAAACATTCTCTTGAAAATTTCTTTCTCAGAGAAATCACAAAATCTACATTTGAATTACACTCTCAGATTTTAAATGCATTGTGCGTAATTGTCTGAAGTCAATGTTTTAATTTTATTCTCCAACTCCAATTTTAAAGGTGAATGGAATTCTAGTTTAGTAGCTGACTCTTGGTTTAATTTTGTAATAGTCTGTAGCATTTGAAAGAGTATTTAATTTTAATTTTGTAATAGTCTATAGCATTTAATAGCCTAGAGCATTTAAAAAGCATGATACATAAACAATACCTTTTTCAAGAAATCTTTCTTTTTTGTGCTGTTGTTCCCCATATGTACACAGTAATTTCTTTTCGCTTAAGAAAGTATCAGAGGATCTCACAAACTTGGCTTCATTCATCTTCTGCTTTGCAAACCTGTCCAAAGAAATCTGCTATGTGCATACTTTGGTTGTCACATAAATACTTTTTTGTCAGCATTGTGGTTTGCTGCATAACAATTTTGGAGACATACTGCTTTTCCTCATGAATACTTTTTTTTACAATTTTCTGGCAGCTGGGCTGTACTGATTATCAGAAAGCATTAATCTTAATAAGCTTTTTCTTGTCAAAAAGGAGTTGAAACTTTTAGAATTGAATTTTTATGCCTTTTAAACTATTAATGAAACAATTTTTTTTTTTTTTTTTTTAGTTTGTAACTTGCAGGTGTTTGAATGTCTATCAAATTATGTAATGCAGCTTACTTCCAAATTATTAATTTTCCTAAAATCAGATATAGAATTTTAAGAAAATATTCTCAACAGTATGTATAGGGAATGTTCTGTTAAAACAGTCTAGCTTTTTATCTGGTTCCCTTAAAATAAACAACAGCATGCAGTATATTTATTTAGTATAATTAGTTTAAAAGTGCCTTGCCTTTAGGTTTAAAATTTATGAAGGAGTTTGCAACAGATATATTAACTTGGGTCATTTTTCTATTTCTGCTACCAACTTAAATTTTAAGTTTCTTTAAAAGTAGTTTAGGAAAAAGTTTTTTATGATTAGGCCCACCAGTTGCCGAGCGGTAAAGTCGCTGAACACTGGTAGTTCAGTCTGAGGTTCGAATCCCGCCTACGGGCTGGCTGCATGGGTGTTTTCGTGTTTTTCCCCATGTGTATCGTGTATACGAGCCAGTTTCCCCTTAGAAAGTCCTCCATGAAGGCAGCCCTTTCCTTAGGCAGATAGCCCTAGTGTGCTTTGCCATAATTAAATACACCACACCACTTTTTATGATTAGGCATTTTTCTTTCTTGTGTGAAATAGAAATCATTATTAAATTTGTAACAGATATCTTCCATATTTGCGTAAAAATGTTTTAGAATGTAGGAATTTTGCATGTATAGATACATAAGTTTTCAACAAATTGAAGTGTAGTGAATCTGTTAATGAATGACTTTCTTAGTATATGTCTGTGATTTTTCAAATGTGTTATGTGTAGCCCCATGGGTACAAATTTGGTATTTCCCCATGGGTAGAAGTATGGAGAAATTTGAGTAATGTGAGGAAAGAACACATGTCAACAGTGTGTGATAAAGGTTCAAAAGTTTGCATATATTATCTTGATATTCATTAAACATGATAGTTTACAAAACATATTTCTTCTATTATTTAACTATTTAATGCTGATGGAAAATTCTCCATCTACTTAAA